CAAAGAATTACAAATCATTCTTTTATAAAGACACAAGCACATGTATATTCATTGTGGCACTGTTTGCAATAGCAAAGACCTGTAACCAACCCAAAAGCCTATTGATGATAGACTGGACAAAGAAAATGTGGCACATAGATGCCATGTAATACTATGCAGTCATAAAAAACGATGAGTTAATGTCCTTTGTAGGGACATGGATGAATCTGGAAACCATCATTCTCAGCAAACTGACACAAGAACAGAAAATCAAACACTGCTTGTTCTCACTCATAGGCAGGTGTTGAACAATGAGAACACATAGACGGAGGGGAGCATCACACACTGGGGTCTGTTGGGGGTGGTTAGGGGAGGGACAGCAAGTGGTGGGGAGGTTGGGGAGAGAGAACATGGGGATAAATGCCAGATATAGGTGATTGGGGGATGGAGGCAGCAAACCACTTTGCCATGTATGTACCTATGCAACAATCCTGCATAATCTGCACCTGTACCCCAGAACCTAAAGTACAATTTAAAGAAAAAAGGTGGGGGCTTCAAGTCTATAGGCAAATTTAAAATTTTTCTGGTTGACAATTGGTGGAGTTTATCTGAAGACCTGGGATCAGTAGAAAGGAAATGTTCAGGTTAAGCTAAAGGATTGTGGAGACCAAGTTTTATTATGCAGAGGAAGCTCTCAGACAGCAGACTTCAGAGAGTGAAGGTTGTAAAATGTTTCTTATCTGACCTAAAAGGGTGCCTGGCTCTTAGTTGATTATTTCCTGGGTCTAAAAAGGGAGCAAAGAAAGAGGAAAGGAGATTCTCTATAGAATGTGGATTTTTCCCACAATGGACTGCTTTGCAGGGCCATTTCAAGATATGGCAGAAAAACATGTCATGGTATTAAATATTCTTGTTTTCTTCCTTCTTATGCCAGAGTCAGATTGGAAAGTGCACAATATACAGGATTAAATAAAACTCATCTGATGAGAATTTATGGTTTTTAGGGCATTAATCCCCAGACCCCATAGATAGGAATTTTGGCAAGGTTTAAAAACAAAACAAAACAAAAACCAGAGCTTTGTCCTCAAAAGGTTTTAGTAAATACCCCATGCTCTTAGTTGGGAATCCTGATGAACAATAGCCTAGCGGCAGATAGAAAGAAGTTTATGATAGTAAAATCCAGCCCAAGTCAGCTTAGTCCCTCATTGGATGAAGGTGATCTTCCTCCTTCTATTAATTACAAAGCATAGGGGATTCTCTGTCTGAAGGAAATAAGATTATTTAGAGCTCCTCCATATTTTTAGACACAGGGTCTGTAAGGCCAATCAAAAATTACCTGAAGTAGACCAACAAGAAAAAGTAGACCAAGAAGAAAATAAATTCAAGAAGTTAAATAGATTAGTTAATTTAACTTTACAAACACTGTGATAGGATGAGAAATTTCCTAACAGACCAATATTATAACCATTCTTCAGACAACTACTGTGGACAAAATAACTCCACAAATACTTAAAAAAGATTTAAGAAAGACTAAAAGATACGGAAGGAAAGAAACAATTGCAAGTGCATTTTCCGTTTTCATAGATTCTAGCCTGAGAGCAGTCCCAGTCAGGTGGCATGACTAGAACTTTACTAGAAAACCCACAGAAGAATCAGAGAATAGAGTTCAGGACCATCAAAAACATTGAGAAACAATAGAGTTAAAAAGTAAGATCTGGACATCTTCAAGGAGCTGTCCCAGATTGAAGCCTGTCAGGGTCCAATGCAAATGAGGCTGATTCCCACTCTGGTCAGCATAATGTAGGCCCCCACAGAAAAGATCCCTGCAGGGCTCTGTGCGACAGCCATTGATATCCTGACTACAGTAGAACAAAATACAAAGCCTCCCCTTTCACAGCTTCTCATCTGCCAAGCTTTCCCTGCTGTGGCACAGTGTACCCTTCACGCAGATGACAATGCCACCATGCAGAATGGCGGAGAGTGCTTGTGGGCCTATGTGTCAGTGACCCTGGAACAAGTTGCCCAGTGGCATGATGAGCAGGGCCACAATGGACTGTGGTATGTGATGCAAGTGGTGAGCCAGCTCCTGGATCCCCATACCTCAGAGTTCACTGCAGCCTTTGTGGGCAGCCTTGTTTCCACCCTCAACTCCAAGGCAGGGCGGGAGCTGGGGGAGAATCTAGACCAGATTCTTCATGCCATCCTCAGTAAGATGCAACAGGCAGATACTCTCAGTGTCATGCAGTCTCTGATCATGGTGGTCACTCATCTGGTGCACACTCAGCTAGAACCTCTATTCCTGTGTAGCCTCCCAGGACCTACTGGCAAACCTGCCCTAGAGTTTGTGATGGCTGAGTGGACGAGCCGACAGCACCTGTTCTATGGACAGTATGAAGGCAAAGTCAGCTCTGTAGAACTCTGTAAGCTGCTCCAGCATGACATCAATGCAGATGACAAATGGCTACAGGATATTCATGTGAAGGGAGAGGAGATCTACAGCATGGATGAGGGCATCCGCACCCGCTCTAAGTCAGCCAAAAACCCAGAACGCTGGACAAACATTCCTTTGCTGGTCAAGATCCTAAAGCTGATCATTAACGAGCTCTCCAATGTCATGGAGGCTAATGCTGCTCGCCAGGCCACTCCTGCAGAGTGGAGTCAAGATGACTCCACTGATATGTGGGAGGACCAGGAGGAGAAAGAGGAGGAGGAGGAAGATGGTTTAGCTGGCCAACTTTTATCTGACACTCTTGCTACAAGTAAATATGAGGAGGATTACTACGAGGATGATGAGGAAGATGACCCTGATGCCCTGAAGGATCTTCTCTATCAGATTGATCTGCAGGCATATCTGACAGATTTCCTCTGCCAGTTTGCTCAGCAGCCCTGCTACATAATGTTTTCGGGCCACCTTAATGACAACAGGAGGTGAGTTCTACAAACCATCAGCATCTAAAAAGGGGAGCCTTTCTACATTTGCTCCTTTTGACCCAGCACAAACCATTTTGCAGCCCTCAGCGGCCTTAAGATGCACTTTTTTCCTCAACCTAAAGTGGCATATTGACCTTTGGCCCTTGGCCTCAGCGGTGACACTGATGACAACTCAGACCAGGCTCACCAGTGCCGGTCACTTAGGAATGCTGGAACAAAGGACATTTTTCAAAGTTCCCGTGAAGACATTCCATCTCTGGAACCTTTTTTCTCCCCAACTCTGCCCCAACCTCTGTTCCTAGAGCCCTCTGCTGGCCAGTCCAGAAACGTTATTGCCCAGAAGAATTATGTGTTCATGGATTATTTTGCCCTGCCTCAGGAACACAGGAAGTCACTACCATTTATATTCTAAAACAGACCTATCTACGTTCATAGGACTTCTGATGTGTTCAGATAGGAATCCTCAAGAGAGATCATTATGCTTTCTGCCCTGGACCACTGCTGCTCTGGGTTCTCAGGAGGAACAGGCAGGAGCAGCTTCTTTCTAAGCCTTTCCAGTGACCTCTGCCTTGCTTCCCTTCTACAACACTAAGGCTCCTCTGTCAGAGGAGGTCATCTTGTTTTTGCCTCATTGCATGACATAACCTTTCCTCTTAAGCTGTTCCTATATATACATGCACACACAAAATAAGCCAGACAGTTGGCAATTTGATTTTCCTTTTTTAGAAAAAATAAAATGGGGAAAAGGGATTTTTTTTTAATTCACCTGACCCAACTATATTTAATATGCCTCTCCCACACATTACCACAGAGTCTGACATTCAAAAATTATCCCCTCTCCCTCGGGAAGTCTCTAAAGTGGTTAAGTTTTAACCCTCAAATTTGCAACATGTATTTTTCTAGGACAGTAAAGTAATCTTTACAAATGAAAGAAAAAAAAGTAAGATCTAATATTTAAAATCTACAAAGAACTAAAACAGATTTACAAAAAAAAAACCCATTCAAAAGTGGGCTAAGGATATAAACAGACACTTTACAAAAGAAGACATATATGAGGACAACAAACATATGAAAAAATGCTCATCATCACTGGTCATTAGCGAAATGCAAATCAAAACTACATTGAGATACCATCTCATGCCAGTTAGAATGGTGATCATTAAAAATTCTGGAGACAACAGATGCTGGAGAGGATATGGAGAAATAGGAATACTTTTACACTGTTGGTGGGAGTGTAAATTAGTGCAACCATTGTGGAAGACAGTGTGGCGATTCCTCAAGGACCTAGAAATAGAAATTCCATTTGACACAACAATCCCATTACTGGGTATATACCCAAAGGATTATAAATCATTCTATTATAAAAACATATGCACACTTACTGCAGCACTGTTTACAATTGCGAAGACCTGAAATCAACCCAAATGCCCATCGATGATAGACTGGACGAGGAAAATGTGGCACATATACGCCATGGAATACCATGCAGCCATAAAAAAAACAATGAGTTCGTATCCTTTGTAGGGAGATGGATGAATCTGGAAACCATCATTCTCAGCAAACTGACACAGGAGCAGAAAATCAAACACCTCATATTCTCATTCATAGGCGGTTGTTGAACAATGAGAACGCATGGACACAGGGAGGGGAGCATCAACAGATGGGGTCTATTGCTGGAGCCTGGGGTTGGACAGAGGGGGTGGGGAGGTTGGGGGGAGAGAACATGGGGATAAATGCCAGATGTAGATGACAGGGGGATAGAGGCAGCAAACCGCCTTGCCATGTATGTACCTATAAATAAAAATTTGTTCAAATCTCTGGCTGACATCTGAATAAAGGTTCACAGAGAGGATTCAAAATATCCTAGTTAAACTTGAAAGAACTGAATTGGAATTTGAGTTGCTGCCCATGAGGCAAAGTGGCTGGTTACATCCAACCAAGATAATTGCTTGCTAAACAAAATATCACTCTTTGAAAGAATCTAACAGAAATAAATCTCTTTAAAATATAACCTAGGTAAAACCCAAGATAGAATACTGAATTATCCAAAATACAGAGAAATGTAAGAATGTAACCTATTTTTAAGAGAAAAGAAAATCAATGGGGACAGAACTTGAGATGGTCCAATCAATATGTATAAATCAAATTTATTTCTTCATATAAGCAACAAATAGAGAATTTTAAAAGGAAATTATTTACTTTAAAATTATATTTAACAAATTAACAAAATATATGCAACATCTCTATGTTGAGATAACCAGAACATTACTGAAAGTTTAAAAGAATTATAAAAGAGATATACCCTATTTACGTATTATAACACACAGTATTGCAAAGATATCAGGTTTCTCTATACGTCTCAATCTAATCTATAGATATCTTCTAATTGATATATAGATTAATTAAATCAAATAAAAATAACAGTAGTTGTTTGTTACAACTCAGAAGCTAATTCTAGAATCGATGTCAAATCTAAATAACAAAATAGATTCAGCAACCAAAGAAGAAAAAGAGGATGAGGAAGAGGACACAAAGCAATCACAATGAAGCTTGAGCCCCTAAGGCCAAGAATTATTATAAAGACATAAAAATGTAAAAGAAAAGAGAGATAGTCCCATGGAATCTGTGGGCAAGTCTAGAAACAAATCCAACACTTATACAGTTGCTTAATTTATGATAAAGTTTACAGTGCAGTGAGGAAAGGGCAATGTTTCAATAAACGGATCAGTTTGATGCCTATATTTTTTAAAAAGAAAAACCACAGTTTTACATTATACATAAAAATTAACACCAAATGTTATATAGATCTAATTGTGAAAAGTGTAACACTAAACCTTTAGGACAACAACAAATTATCTTCTTGACATCAGGGCTAGGGAGAGATTTATTAAACAGTGCACAAGAGTACAAATTCTAAAGGAAAATAGAAACTTGATGTATCATACTACATTAAAATTAAAGCTTTCTCTTATCAAATTACACAGTTGGGAGAGTGAAATGACAAATCCCTTGGCAGAAAAAGATATTTATAGTACATATTACAACATGACTCAAATTTAAGATATATAAATATTCAGTTCTACAAATCAATAAAAAAATAAAACAACCCCATAGAGAAATCTGCAAGAACAGGTACTTGTTCTTAACAGACTAACTCGTCCTCAGCTTTCCCAGTATTTCCTTCTAGTCCTTAGATCATTCAATCAAATTGTTCTCCATTTCTCAGGAATCTGTAGATATTCTTATCTGAAGCTTCTCCTCTTTACCTGTACACTATGTAATAAGTGACACCTAAGGTCTGCCCACTGGAAAATCCCCCATCATGTGTACGCTAACACATACACATTTGCTTTGAGTGCTAACAGTTAGTGGGACAGTAGTGCAGTTGCAATCCACATTGGACCAATATCAACATAAGAGTTAACCCATTTAAAAAATTTTTTTACTTTAAATTCCGAGATACATGTGCAGACATGCAGGTTTGTTACATAGGTATATGTGTGCTAGGGTGGTTTGCTGCACCTATTGACCTGTCCTCTAAGTTCCCTTCCCTCACCCTTCACCCCCCAACAGGTGCTGGTGTGTGTTGTTCTCCTCCCTGTGTCCATGTGTTCTCATTGTTCAACATCCACTTATGAGAACATGAGGTGTTTGATTTTTTGTTCCTGTGTTTGTTTGCTGAGGATGAAGGCTTCCAGCCTCATCCATGTCCCTGCAAAGGACATGATCTCATTCTTTTCTATGGCTGATAGTATTCCATGGTATATATGTATCACATTTTCTTTATCTAGTCTATCATTGATGGGCAATTGGGTTGGTTCCATGTCTTTGCTGTTGTAAATAGTGTTGCCATAAATATACATTTGCATGTGTCTTTATACTAGAATGATTTACATCCTTTTGGGTATATACCCAGTAATGGAATTGCTGGGTCAAATGGCATTTCTGGTTCTATATCCTTGAGGAATTGCCACACTGTCTTTCACAATGGTTGAACTAATTTACACTTTCACCAACAATGTAAAAGCATTTCTATTTCTCCACATCCTCACCAGTATCTACTGTTTCTTGACTTTTTAATAATTACCATTCTGACTGGTGTGAGGTATTATCTCATTGTGGTTTTGGTTTCCATTTCTCTAATGATAAGTGATGTTAAACTTTTTTCCATGTTTGTTGGCTGCATGTGTGTCTTCTTTTGCAAAATATCTCTTCATATCCTTTGTTCTTTTTGATTGGGTTGTTTTCTCTTTGTAAATTTGTTTAAATTCCCTGTAAACTCTGAATATCAGATCTTTTCAGATAGGGAAATTACAAAATTTTTCTCCCACTCTGTTTGTTGTCCGTTCACTCCATGATAATTTCTTTTGCTGTGCAGAAGCTCTTTAGTTTAATTAGATGCAATTTGCCAATTTTGGCTAGGGTTTTTTTTTTTTTTTTTTCAATTGCTTTTAGTGCTTGTTTTTGCTTTGTTGTTGTTGTTTGTTTTTGGTTTGGTTAGGTTTGGTTTGCTTGAGACAAAGTCTCACTCTGTTGCCCAAACTGGAGTGCAATGGCACAATGTTGGCTCACTATGACCTCTGACTCCCGGGTAAAAAGCGATTCTCCTACCTCAGCCTGCCGAGTAGCTGGGATTACAGGTGTGTGCCAACATGCCTAGCTAATTTTTGTATTTTTAGCAGAGATAGGGTTTCACCATATTAGCCAGGATGATCTTGATCTCCTAACCTCATGATCCACCCAACTAGGCCTCCCAAAGTGCTGGGATTTCACGCATGAGCCACGAGCCATGGCATCTGGCCACTTTCAGTGTTTTTGTCACAAAATTTTTGTCCTTATCTATGTCCTGGATGGTATTGCTTAGGTTTTCTTCCAGGATTTTTATGGTCTGGAGTTTACATTTAAGTCTTCAACCGATATTGAGTTAATTTTTATGTAAGGTGTAAGGAACAGGGTCCAGTTTCAGTTTTCTGCATGTGGCTAGCCAGTTTTCCCAATGCCATATACTGAATGGGGAATCATTTCCCGATTGCTTGTTTTTGTCAGGTTTGTCAAAGATCTGCTGATTGTGGATGTGTGGTGTTATTTCTGAGGTCTCTGTTCTGATCCATTGGTCTATATGTCTGTTTTGGTTCCAGTATCATGCTGTTTTGGTTACTGTAGCCTTGTTGCATAGTTTCAAGTCAGGTAGCATAATGCCTCCGGCTTTGTTCTTTTTGTTTATGATTTTCTTGGCTATATGGGGTCATCTTTGATTTCATATGTTATTTTTTCTAATTCAGTGAAGAATGTCAACGGTAGTTTGGTGGGAATAGCATTGAATCTATAAATTACTTTGAACATTATGGTCATTTTCACAATAATCATTCTTCCTCTCCATTAGGATGCAATGTGTTTCCATTTGTTTATGGCCTTTCTTATTTCCTTGAGCAGTGGTTTGTAGTTCTCCTTGAAGAGTCCTTCACATCCCTTGTTAACTGTGTTCCTAGGTATTTTATTCTCTTTGTAGCAATTGTGAATGGGAGTTCATTCATGATTTTGCTCTCTGCTTGTCTCTTGTTAGTGTATAGGAAAGCCTATGAGTTTTACACATCGATTTTGTATCCTGAGACTTTGCTGAAGCTGCTTATCAGCTTAAGAAGTTTTGGGTTGAGAAGATGGGATTTTCTAAATATAGAATCATATCATCTGCAAATAGAGCAATTTGACTTCCTCGTTCTATTTGGATACCCTTTATTTCTTTCTCCTGCCTGATTGCTGTAACCAAAACTTCCAATAGTATGTTGAGTAGGAGTGGTGAGAGAGGACATCCTTGTCTTGTGCTAGTTTTCAAAGGAAATTCTTCCAGCTTTTGCCCATTCAATATGATATTGGCTTTGGGTTTGTCAAAAATAGCTCGTATTATTTTGAGATATATTCCATCAATTCCCA